AGGTCAGACATTACAAGTTAAAAGATATAGTCCTCCAAACTACTGTGTCTGCCTAAGAACTCAGAAGCCAGCTGCAAGCTTGGAGGTTCCTATGATAACCTCATTTGAGACCTGCTGGCTGCAGATTTGGCATTTTCCCACTGCCTTCTCAGGATAGCTATAAGCTCATGGGTCCCCAGCCCTATTAACTTCTAACTTTGCTGGCTCCCACTACTCGCTTGGGTTTGATAATTCATTAGAATGATTCACAAAACTCATGGGACGTGCTCTACTTATGGTTACAGTGTAATTATAGGAAAAAAGATACAAATGAAGATAAAAATAGGGTGAAGTCTGAGAGGGTTCCCAACACAGTTTTCTTGTCCCAAAAGAGGGACATGCTACTCTCCCATGGGCATCAATGTCTGTCAGCAACCAGGAAGCCCATGGCGTTTCCATGTCCAGAAGCTTTATTGGGGCCTCATTGTATAATCATAGTTGATTGAATCATAATCTTTTCCACAGGTCAGCTGACACCAAGCAACTAGTAGTATTTCTGGCCTGAGCAGGCCCCACCTGAGTCATTAGCATAAATCCTCTGCTATAGAGTGGAGGCCTCTCATCAAGGCATTTCATTTATTAGGGAATTTACAAAATTTTAGAGTTTATCTTTTGAGAACTGTCTTAGTTATCTAGTGCTGCTATAACAGAAATACCACAAGTAGATGGCTTTAACACACAAATTTATCTTCTCACAATTTAGGGGGCTCGAAGTCAGAATTCAGAGCACCAGTTCTAGGAGAAGGTTTGTGCAAAAACGGCAAGGAGGCCACATGTTCTGACCTCCTCTAATCCCACAAGAGGAAGACAGGGTTACCAGCAGTAACCCAAGGCCTATTCCTACAAGGCCAGACATGCTGCCTCCCTCCAGCCCGTTCTCCAACCGTTCCTCCCAAAGCACTGCCAGCTCTCTCCTAGGTTCAATAATTCACTGCAGTGGCCACACAGAACTCACAGATTATGAGATTTATTAGGGAAGCACCAGACTACAATTCAAGTTCAGGAAAAATGCTCAGTCTCTCTCCCCAGCCCACCGTCCTTTAGCCAAAAGTCTCTCTCCCAACAACGCTGGTCCTTCGGTGTCTCACTCAGCGATGCGTGTCTCT